ATATTCATTATAGCGTATATAAATTTATAATATATGTTCTGTATTTAAATTTTTAATATATTCACTATATCTAATATTGAGATTTTATTATTAAATTCACTATAACGAATAGAATTTTATATAGAATAAATTAGGAAAATAAAAAAAGTTCATTATAAGCCAAATTCACTATAATGAGATTCACTATAACGAGCTTTAACTGTAGTTATTTTAGGTAGTTTAATTAGTATTTTGTTAACTATTTGATGTTGATATTAACAAATTGTTTAAGGATAACCTTTATAAAGAATAGCATTTATAATAGCAATTCAGAAAAAACTGCTGCTAAAAATCTTAAATACAGTGATATTTGTAATTGGATAAAATGTTTATAAGACAATATATCTAATGAAATTATTATCAATTCTTTTGTAAGCTGTAATAACAGATTCATTAGATAATAAAAAATGTAGAATTAGAAATCTGATAATAACAGTAGTGATGAATAATTATAGTGATAAATCTTATGTTAATTAATAAAGGATTTAATAATAAATTTACAGTATAATTGTTCTATTGTAAAAATTTAATAATAATCAATAAATTATTAATAAATGTAAAATTTTTTACGGTTTTTTTTAAGAGGTGCTTATTTTCGGATAATATAGAAATTAGGGGATGCTTTATAGAGTGGGAACATCAAATTATATTTTGTTGTACCATCTGAACAATATGTATTAGATATCAATGTGCGTGAACTATATTATTTTCAAATCTACATGTATCTCTGATATTCTATCACGAGATGATCTTTTGCGTAGCAACCAAGCCACAGTTATTATTAATTTATTTTTATTTTCTACGAACATTTTTTACCATGTAAAAATATGTAGACTATCCAGTGGACTGATGCAAAGGTCCGCCTCTTTATTAACGAGCGTAAAGAATGAAATGCTGAAAGCTACGGCCATTTAAAAGGCAAAAGAAAGAATTTTGGGTAATAAAAATTTGATTAATTTTTTGAAAGATGAATGAAATTTTTTACCTTATCTTTGTCAAGGTATTGAAGCTTTCTGAAATGCTAATATTATGAAGTTTTCAGATTCAATCATATTGATTAATTAAATTATTTAATTTTTTAAAAAAAACAAAACTGTTCTAAATATGTTTGATATTATTGATAGGTTTCTGACGCCGCCATTAAAGAATTGGGAGTCGAAGATACTCTCCTGAGGTCGCTTAGGTCACCTAAACAATTCAATTTTTAATAGGGGCTCAAATAATATGAAAAGCCCATTAAGATTCGTCCAACCTTCAAAACAGTAATATCCCTCTTGAAGGAACCAATGAAAAGTTTGAAATATTAATATGAAGTATGATCTGAAAAATTAAATCGCGTTACAATAGTTGAAAAACATTCTGTTCTTTATCAAAAATTACTAGAGTGTAAATTAATACTGAAATATCAACTTAAGATGTGGTAAGTCATTAGATTTAATAACTTATTCAGACAAGCTAATTTAATATGAATATTAATTTTATTATTGATTTTTAGAATAAATTAAAAGATTAACTAAGAGAAGAAAAAAAGCAAATTCAGATAAAACAAGATAATAAAGATCTTGAATATAAATACGGAGATTCTGTAATGCTTTTCAGGTAAATAATTATTATCATTTACAAATAAATATACTTTCAGTTAATTTAATAATTGTATTTATTTTAATAAGCAACTTGAAAAATAAACAAATGAAATTCTAGCAGAGTTTGCCAATTATGAGAAAGAAGATATTAACCTAGAAGAAAGAAAGAAACACGCAATTTCCAAACAGAAGAAAGCTACAATAGCAATTCTACAGTAGGTTTATTTGTTTATATTGTTTTGTTTCACATAAATTCGAGACAGAATAATAAGCTTTTTGTTATAGAATCTTCATGGACTTTCGGAAGCGAAATCAGCAATGCTATTTAATGAACAGGATTTGAATGATCGAATGGATTAGATGGCGAGCTTGGAAAGATCTTTAGAGGCCCAAGAAAGTGAACTTGACAAGATCTGGGAAATCTTAAGAGGTATGTTAATCGTTTATTTTAATCTAATTGTGTGAATACCATTTTTATGTTGTAATTGGATTTAATCTTAAATAAAGGCAAGCTAGAAGGTTATTCAAACCAAATTGAAGAAAAACAGAGGACTTGCACATTTGTCAGAGAAAATTATTGCAAACAATCACTTATTGTGTCAAACAATCCGAGTTTAATATTTTAAAGAGAAAATTTTCAATAAAACGAGACCTTACATAAGCAGAAGAATATGCTGACACGCTTAGAGAATCATGTCGGAAGAAGGTATTATTTTAAGGATCACTTTTTTTGATCATTTAATTTGCTTACTAATTAATTGTTATTAATAATCTTATTTACAAAGAATCAAATCAAAGACACGTGCTAGAAATTAAACAATTGACACTGATTTAAAGGTTATTATTTAACGTTTAAATTAACACATAAGTATTTTAAGATTCATAAAATATCTTTATTACTTTTAGCATTACCTTACTCGGAAAGAACATCTCAAGTCTAGTCTTGCTGATTCTCGACAACAAGAAGATGAGGCGAAAATTTTTTTTTAAATCTTAGTCTAGAGGAAAAGTTCTTAGTAGCCTTATAGAGCTCAAAGATAATGATTGTATAAAAGGATTATATGTAAGTTCGTCAGAGCGGAGCGTTTCTATAATTCGTTTTTGCTGAAATATCTTATTTATTTTAAATTTTTAATCAGGATCGTTTGGGTAACCTTGGTGTCATTGATGATAAATACAATGTTGCGATCACAATTGCCTGTCCTGAATTGGACAACTTCGTAGTCGATTCTGTTGAAGTTGGATAGACTTATGTAGATTACCTTAGAAGTAACGATATAGGTCGCTATTTTAGATAAGCTGCCCACAATGGACATGCGCCTGATAAAAACACCTGAAAATGTTTCTCATCTTTTTGATCTTGTTAGGCCGAATTTATCCCAGCATTTTATAGTGTGTTGGGTAATACTTTGGTTGCCAAAGATCTAACACAGGCGAGTAGGATCGCCTTTAGCGAAACTCGGTGACGCGTGATGATATTAGGAGGTTTAGTAATTGAACAATCTGACGCGATGAGTGGCGGTGGTCATAAAGTATCTAAAAGCGCTATGAGCTCGAGATTTACTTCTGAAGTAACATCCGAGACAATAGCGAAATTGGAAAAAGACCGTGTCCACTTTGAAATGCAATGTAAAAGAACCTTGGATCTTTAGAATTTCAACTTCAAAATAAAAAGGATGAAATTCTTAAATTGGATATTAAAATATTGAAGTTAGAGATGGATGCTAATGCTTACGCACAACGTAATAAGAAAAGAGTAGCCGAGTTACGGGATGAATAGAATTGTATTTTCTCAGGAATATATATCACGCGAGACTATCTATAGTGATATTCATGATAAACTCGTCGCTAAAAGATCTACTCAATAAGAACCTAATAAAAATGATATAGACCAATTTGATGATGCAATAGAGAGACAAAATTTTCGACTTGGACCAAAATCACGGAAAATCATACCCTTCTCTATGTTGGTGGTTATAATGGAGTATTAATAGCAAATAACAATTCTTGAGATTACGTCCTACGAGTGCCGTGGTGAAATCAAATATTTTACTCAGTTTCATGATGTACATTGTAAACAAGGATTTCTTTATGCTAATCATGAGGTAAAGTATTTATTAGGGAGTTTTTTTTTAAAAAAAAAAACATGAAACTGCCACACTTCAAATTATATTTATCTCTCATTCCATTTTTAGGATATGTTAAGATATCTGAGTTACCATCTGACTTCCGATATGATATGGAATGGCCCATTAAGAAAATTCCTTTAAATCGAACGGGTTATGGCATCGAAGATCATGCAGGAAATGCAAGTATATGCATTGGCAACTTCCATTCCAGTTAAATTTATTTTAAGAGATGATAATGGGTACCCTATTAATGATGTAAGTTATAAATTAATTATGTGATATTTTTTAATTAGTTGAGCCATTGACTGACAGAATTTTGGGACGAAAAGAAAGAGATCAATTGTTACCAGAAACTCAAAAATTCTCACTAGAATTGATATCTCCGGAAAACAATAGACAGGTTCGCTAAATTTTTCTTATTTTTATCTTTTTTGTCTTGATAGTTTGTTTACCTTATCGTTTCTATTCCTGTTATATATAGATATGATTTTTTGCAAATTCTTTGTATCAAATGCGTAAATCTTCAAACGAAATCTACATCTAGCGGACGAAAGTCTTTCATTGCTGTTGGTACAGGTTTTTCCGAGGCGAGGATGTGGCATGCGAGAAAATGTACATAACAAATTTTTTTTTAAAAAAAAAAATTATTTGACCTAATTTTATACTTTTAAATATTTACAGGTTTACATATTTGAAATAATCGAAGTTGTCCCGAATCAGATAATCCGCAAAAAAATCATAAGTTTAAGTTATTGTCATGAAGAGGTAAAAGGTTCTGTAACTGCAATTTGCGATGTTAAAGAATACTTATTAACTTGCGTTGGACCAAAGGTAAATGAATAAATTTTGTCATTTATTAATATCATTTATGTCGATCTCGTATTTTATATGTATTTATTTAACATCATAGATATTTATACGTGCTTTCGAAGATAACGATAGACTAATTAGTGTGGCGTTCATAGACATTCAAATTTACGGCAATAGCGTTGTTTCTGTTAAGGACTACATATTATTGGGAGATGTATACAAGAGTGTTTGGTTTTTTGGATTCCAGGTAATTTCTTTCAAAAATATATATATATATAAATATAAATCTATTTCATTCCAACAAGTTTATATATCATCATCATAATTATACAGGAAGAAACCAGCAAAATTAATATTGGTTGGTAAAGACTATCATTCAGAGGTTATTTGTTTAAATTATTTAATCGATGAATCGCTGTAGCAGATATGGATAAAAATATCCACGTATTTCAATACGCACCATATAGTAAGTGTTTCATAAATAATATTAATATATTAATATTCGAATAATGAATTAACTTTTAAATTCGTCAATGTAAGGTGTTCAGTCTTTTGCGGGACAAAAACTTATCCGTCGTGGTTATTTTCATATTGGTGCACAGTGAAAGTGATGTTAAACATGCCAAAAAAAGAATTTGTAAGAACTTTTCCTATTGAACAAGGAGGTTCGGGATTTTGGAAGAAGAGATTAGCGGAAAGATATTACTTTGTTTATGTGGTAAGTAAAGTAAAAAAAAAAAAAAATTTAGTTCATGAATTTCATAATTTAATTCCATCATTATTAGGAACTCTTGATGTAGCATTCCTTTCGATATGTTATTAATTATAATATAAGTAAAGGTAAAGATCCATGTTGCCGTGATCATAAGTTGTCAGTTTTTTTTGGAGAAATACAGAAAACCTTAAAAGAAATTTTTTTATTATTTTATTTTTAAAAAAATTAGAAAGAATTTTCAAAGAATCAACAACTGTGATCATAACAATCATCATCAAAAAAAAAGGAAAAAAAAAACAAATGATATTATCTTTTAACTTTTTTGATATTTTTAATGAAATTCTTATAACCCCCTACTGAATACTTAATTGATATTTCCTTGTCAGGATCAATACTATTTTAAAAAAATTGTTAATTTTAAATTGTTGATGAAATTACAATTTTGCTAATTTAATAAACTTACTTTTTGGATAATTCTAATGTTAGTTTGGTCTTATCTTCTGAAAAAATAAATCATATTTTCAAACAAGATTCTGATCTTAGATTTTTATATAATTATATTTTATGTAAATTAATTTTGTATCATGATATTGATATCTACATCAATATCTTTAACAGTAGAAACTAAAAGATCTATTATTAATATTTGATTTTATCCAAAAAAAAGAATATTAATAAATTTATAATACCTGATTGTTTTGATTATTATAATTATGATGGTAATTGTTATGGTTAAGATCATAATAATGAATGTTGTAATTATAATGATGTTTTTGTGATAGCATAAAATTAAAAAAAAATAAAGTATATCTGTTAAAAATTATATATATATATATATATATATTTTAAAATACTTAATATACTGAATATAACAAAAAAGTGATATAGTATTGTTATTTAAATGTTAATGATTTTTAAATAAAAAGATTTCAAAATCAAACCTGTATATAACCTTTTAGTGTAATTAAATGATCTATTTTTAAGATGCTTAATTTATCATAATTGGTATTATTTATATGCTAATATTTATATATCTTTTTTTCTTAGTTTTTATAATATAAGATTTTTTTATCTAATTTATAATATAATATTGGTAACTTTATTTACTTCAAAATTTTTATTTTAATGTATAAAGTTAGATTTTGATAATAAAAGTCTAATAAAATATCAATTAATACTAGTTTTTTTTTAATAAAATTATTAATAATGTTTATTTTTAATTTAAGATTTTTTTCTCAAGTTATGAAGTAAAGGTGAAAGAAGATATAAATATTAGAAACAAAAAAGTAAAATAGAAGTATAATAAATATTAGAAATAAAAAAATAAAAGATATTAGATAAAAAATAAAAATATATATCTATTTATTTTAATGATCCTATAATTCAATCTGAATATCAAACATCTAATTGATTTTCCAAAATACTCTTATTAAAATAATATCATTATGCTTATATTTTTTATTTTTATTATATTAAAATGAAATTTGCATTTTATCTAACTCTAGTTAATATTTTTTTTTTTTAACCTTAATAATAACAATAATCATATTTCTAATCTTAATATTTATCAGCTTTTTACTATAATTAAAAAAAATGATAAACAATTAAAGTGATAATAAAGATGATTAAAGAAGTAATAAAAATGATAATAACAAAGCTTAATAAAGGTATTAATAATGTGGCAAAATTTGCAATAATTCTTAAAAAATTTTTTTTAAAAAAGAATTATAGTATTAAATTTTAATTTTTTATTTTATAATACTATATATAAATGATAATTTTTCAAAATGATTTTATTAATTATAATTACACTTAAAAGACAAAAATTATAAATTATTAAATAAGAAAAAATTGTTTCTTTATCAAAATTTATAATTTTATTCTACATATTAAAAAAATTATAAATTATAAAAATCTTATAATTATATAATATAAAAATTAAAATATAAATATCTTATATATTTATAATTTCATTAGCTTCTTTTGATATTTTCATTTTATTTAATTAAAATCTCATCTTGTAAAAATTATGATCATTTAACTATTTTGTATTTTTTAATTAAAAATTGTAATAATTATTTAAGAGAATCTATTTTTTCTTTTCTAATTAATTTTGAAAATTAGAAAAATTTAATAAAATTTGATTTAAATACACAATATAAGTCTATTGATTCTATGAGTAAACTTTTTTTCTATTAATTTAAATTTAAAATTTTATTTAAAATTTGATATGTATCTCTTATAAAATATTGTATATAGAAATAATATAAAAATGATATGTCATTTAATATATTTTTAGTAATTCTGTATTGCAATTCTATATATTTAATAATTAATTGATTTTTACATATTTTTTAAAATTAAAATATATGAAAATTATACAAAATTATTAAATATTTTAATTTATTTAATTTGATGATTAATTATAGTTATATAATTAATATTATTGAGAATCAATTTTCTCATCTTTTTTTTTTTTTTAAACTGTTATATTTTTATTATTTTTTTTTTTTTTAACAAAAAAAATATACTTTTATTATTTAACATAATTTTTAAAAAAAATTTTAATTTTTTAAACTTAAATACTTGAACTTATAAAAATTTATTAAATATATTTTTTTTTATTTATAAATTTTAATTTTTATATTTATTTAATATCTTTTTTATAAATATTAAAACAGAGATTTTATAATCTTTCATTTATAAGTGAAAGTTATTTATATTGTTATATGAATTAATTGCAAAAAATTTACCAACTAAAAAATAGACTTTAACGCGTATAGCAATGTTTTAGGTATCTGAAGGATAGTAATTTATATTAATAATCCTAGAGTCTTGTTAGTATCAATAGAATTATCAATGTAAATCACTATAATCAATATATATGTTTATATGGAAAAGCAATAATGATGGATTGGGTTTTATGTTATAAGTTTAACTAAGTAAAGTTATAAAGTAAAAGGTTAGTTTTATTAATTAGAGAAATTGAAATCAATATCATTCAATAATTTAAATAAGCTTTTATTCGTAAACTTACAAAATTATGAATAAACAATAAACTAAACTCTATTAAAACTGTATTAGAAAAGCTATTTAATAATTATTTTCAAGACTAACTAGCTTGACTTTATTAACTGAATAATTAACTGATTTGTAATTCACTAAAGACTAACTGATGAGTATACATGAAATTTCTATCCTATTTATATAAAACTTTGGATCTAATTCTATTACTAAATTAAGATAAAGTATAACTTAATAAACTATAAAAACATTATAAACATTGTTAACTTAATTAACAAGTTTAACTAAATAAACCATATTAACTATATTAACATATTTAATTTTGTTAACAATGTTATCGTCGTTTTTATAATTTTGGCCGGTCAATCACTAATTCACGTTAAGGAATTATGGCTCTGTATGATAATGATCTACAAAATTATACTTGACATTCATTTTGAAATATCTCACTAAATATTGATCCAATCAGATTAAGCTTATATTCATTGGAAAGTTCTCATTAAGACAGTTCTAATAATACTATTTCTATCAAATATTGATCATTAGTTCAAGAGTTATTTCATTTAACAACATCTAATTTTTCATTAAAGTTGGTTTAGAAATATATTTTTTTGTAGTTTGATTTAATGAATTACAATTTTAACTTCACAGGATAATTTGAGCATTTTGGTTAAAGTCAATTACCTTTTATTTTTAAGTAAAAGTTATTTAGCAGGTTCAATACTATTTACATCTAATTTTTTGTTTAATATTCATATAGAATAAATTTTTTTGTAACTTTACTAAATTAATTACATTTTTTTAATTTTACAAATTAATTTAATCACTTTAGTTAAAGTAAACTGCTTATTGCATATTCAGTAATATATTCTAAAGATTTGAAACTACTTGCATATAATTTTTCATTAAGATTCATTGAATAATAAATATTTTTTATAACTATAAATTTCTGAATTTTTTTTATTTGTATAATTTATTTAATACTGTATCAATATAAATATATATTGTGAAATTACCACAATTGATAAAAAAAAAAGTTTCAAATTACTTTGTTTAATTATAATTAATTTTTTTTAATAAATGAAAAAAATATTTTTTTTTTGTTGATTTTATTGTATTTTTAAGATTATATATATAAAAAACAGTAATTTACTCTATATAATAATTAATAGTTATAATTACAGTTTTTTATACAAAATTTTATTCTTTTTCAAATATGTAATTAATTATAATAATTAATGAAAAAATTTAAAAACTATTATTAATGTTAAGAGTAAAATTCACTTTTGAATTTCATAAAAAATATGCAAAAAAATTACTTTTCTGTTGCAACTTTTGCTTTATGCTTTTGACTTATTTACGTGTTTTTGTAAATTGACAAATTATGTGATCTATTTACGTTATTCAAAATTTACAGAGCAGTGGATATTCATATTCTCTGATTTTCAAGTTTGCTATATACTGTATAGTATTCAAAAGCTTTGAATTTTTAAATCTTATTTATCACATTTCATTTAATTTAAATAGTGGTAAAAAAAAATTCAAATCAAATCACGTAATTCTACTTAATCCCTTTAACAGAAATTATAATCTTCAGATTAATATATGATTCGTTAGGGGTGTTCTATCAACTATGTAAATCAAAACTTTATTAAGTATCAAATAAAAATTTACTATTAGAGATTTTTCATAATAAATTATAATTTAAAATAGTTTAAATTTGCTTATGATAAATTTTCCTATTAAAATCAATACATTTTTAAACTTCAATTTCTTTGATTTTTTCTTATTAATTTTTTTTTCAAATTTCACGAAAGTATTCTAAATAACCGTCTCTTTCATGCAATTAGCTGCTTTTTTTTTTAAAAAAAAGCTATTCATATTTCAAACATAACAAAATGACTATTTTTGAACAATTCCACTATAGGAAAAGTTTCGCTTTTTTAAACATTTTCAAAAAACAATTACATTATTCCTAAGGTCGCTATGTATGCATTTGAACTTTATCACTACATAAAAGTATGTGAAATTGAATTTTACAGATTTTGGATTATTTAATGGGAAGAATTTCAAGCCGTGCCATCAATTAAAAAAAGCGTGAAATACGAGCTCAAAATTAGAAGCAAATAAAAATGACAAAAAACAAAAAATTAATGAAAACTTAAATGAGATGAACGAACTAAAACTAAACAATGCTTTCTATTGGCTCTAATTCATTTGAAAATATTAACAAATCCAGTATTAAAAACGTCCGGAAGTCAACCATCGTGTAACTTAAATTTGAAGAATAATATAATTCTAGATGATGCAAAAAGAGTTAGAAAAGCAGATTAATTGTTTGAAAAAAATTTTTTCTAAAAAAAAATTGTCTATTACTGTATAAACTCTGTGATTGGTATTAAAAAACTAAAAAGTCAAAATACTTCGAATTTGTATTACGCTACCAATCATTCATGTCAGTTGATTGCTCTCTTCAAACCCTTATTTATAAAGGAGTTAGAGTTAACGAATACTGACATTTAATTTGAGTAGTGTTATTTTTACAATTTTTAAAATATCCGGCAAAAATGATCGTCAAAAAAATTTCTAATAGTAAATTTTTATGGATACTTTGATTTACATAGTTGATGGAACACCCAATGATTCGTGTAACAATTGGAGAAAAACGCGATCCGATTACATTCACACACTATATAAAAAAGGAATGATATATCAATTAATATTTCGTTAATAACGACGCCATTATTTTATCATAATATGTCATAACGATTTTTGATAGTATATAAACCCATGGTTTTCTTTCGATTGAGAAACAGATACAAAATGAATTTAAATCGTAAATTAATAAAAACTTATACAGTAATACGTCCTATGAGATCTTTGGTCACTTCGACCATGAATCCTTCCGAACCAGGATCTGAACAAAAGGATGATGAAAAAGTTTTTAATCGTAATGAGCAAACTATATCAGGTTCAACAAATCAAGTTTCTCACGCAAAAACCGCTTATGACAGAGAAACAATTAATCCAAATCAAGAAATACAAGAATTCAAACGAACTAATCATCAAGTAAGTAAAAAATATAATATAATATATATTTAGATTGATATATGTTTTGATTAAACAATTTGTCGTAAATTTTAGGATTCTCTGGATTGGAGTGCCGCAAATGAGAATATTAGTGATACAACTAAAAAAAAATCATCTCAACCTGTTGGATAAATGTTTATTTTATTATAAATAAATAAATGGCTTTAATAAGACCGAATCGCTAAACGTGGCTCAGTTCTTATGTTGGTTCCTTAGGAAATTGTGGCGCTTGCTACAAATAATTAAATTTTTCCTACTGGTTTAGGGCTCGATACTATGGCGTCATTTAGATTTAACCTTTAAAAAAATGTAAAATGTATTTATTTAAGAGAGATAGCCCTTAATAAATAATTTTTATAATCAAATTTAGTAATGTTCCGAGATACGTAAAAGTTTTCGTATTATAAATTTACATATATCATAAAATTTTCTTTAGAATGTCAGAACTAAATGACGATTCTCGAAAACAAACAAAACCGCGTAAACGTTTCGTTGGAAAAGCAGCTGCGAGAAAAAAGCAAGGAAATCAAGATCTAGTTACAAATATAGAAGATAGTAGTTCTGTTGTTGCTATAGGTAATATGCTGACTTATTTGTATTTAAATTTTTTCCTTTTTTAATTTTTGTTTCTTTATAAATTCAGAAAATTCACCAGTAAAAAACAGGTCTGCGAATCGAGTAGCAAACCAAATTCCTCTTGAAATATTAACTGATTCTTTATTAAATAAAGCAATTGAACAGGTTTTTTTAAAGATAAATTCTCTTCAACATTTGAGGTTTTTTTTAAAATTTATTTAATATTTAATATATTTGTTTCTTTTCAGCTTCCATCGAATTATAATTTTGAGATTCACAAGACCATATGGAATATCAAACGTTCAGAATCTACGAAAGGTAATTTTACGAGTTTTTTTATTATCATAAGGTGAAATCTAAAAGTTATATTATATTTTTTAAATTAATTAGTCGCATTACAATTCCCGGAAGGACTTTTGATGTTTGCATGCACTATTGCAGATATATTAGAAAGCTTTTGTAATGTCGAAACACTCATAATGGGAGATGTGACATATGGAGCTTGTTGTGTAGATGATTATACCGCAAAATCCTTAGATTGTGATTTCATGGTACATTATGGACATAGTTGCTTAGGTTAATTGAGATTCTAATTCTTCTAATTTTTAAAATTTTTTTTTTTTTCTTTTTTATGAAGATTAATTAATAAATTTAAATTTTAGTCCCCGTAAATGTTACAACTATAAAGACAATATATGTTTTTGTGGATATTGGAATTGATACCGAACATTTTATAAATACTGTAAAATTTAATTTTGAAATTGGGAAGAAATTGACCATTGTTGGTACCATTCAATTTGTTGCTGCTATTCAGGTAAATTCAATTGCAATATTATAAATAAAAGAATTGTAAGGTATTTTAAAGGATTCATTAAACTTAAAAATTGCTTCTTGATTTTCTAAATGATTAATAAGGCAACAAAAAAACATTTAGAAGATGATTATTCTTTATTTGTTCCACAAGCAAAACCTTTATCTCCCGGAGAAATATTGGGTTGCACTTCTCCAAAGCTAGGTGAACAAGATGCTATAATGTAAGTCATATTTAATTGACTTTAATTTGACTTGACATTCGTTTCACAGTTTTCCTTCCCTTGTATTTCTACCTTTTTAGATATCTTGGTGATGGTCGATTCCATCTAGAATCAATTATGATCGCTAACCCAGATATACCTGCATTTCGGTGTTTATTAAAGTGATTATATCGTTAATTTATTATATTGAAATATATGTTAACTGAATTATTTTTCCCTTTAGCTATGATCCGTATTCCAAGAAATTTACAAGAGAACGTTATGATCACACGGAAATGCATTCCCTAAGAAAGCATGCGATTTATTTGGCCAAAAGGGCTAAAAAATTTGGTTTAATATTGGGAACTTTGGGTAGGCAAGGAAGTCCTAAAGTTTTAGAGGTATTTATGTTACGAAACTTGAGTTTTATCATCAAAAATGAAAGCTTTTTTTTAACCACTTTTATTAAAAATCATAGTACCTTGAAACAAAAATAAAATCTCATGGACTAGATTATATTTGCGTATTACTCTCCGAAATATTTCCAAATAAATTGGAACAATTTCAAGATATTGACGCGTAAGTTTCTATTTATCTTCAATATATATATATATATATTTTTACATTAAAAATCAATGATAAGAGACTTCTACTTTTATTTTCTAGGTGGATTCAAATTGCATGTCCACGCTTGTCAATAGATTGGGGTTATGCATTCCAAAAGCCATTGTTAACACCATATGAAGCATCGGTTGCATTAGATGCAATTGATTGGCAATCTAATTATCCAATGGACTTTTATGCCAATGATAGTTTAGGGCCTTGGACGCCTAATCATGGGAAGGGGAGAATTAAACGATAGCGACTATATATTTTTTTGGGGGATCAAATGATTTTTGAACGCGATATTTTGAATTATATTGTACATATATTTATTAGTCCGGAAAGAATTGAAGGACTATTGTACAGGTTTTGGTTACACAATTCTCCGCTTGATCGCAGAGTCGATGCTGCCAGTGTGATTTTTTTTTTTAGTAAGATCGTTCCGGACTTAACAACGGTTCCCGTTCCCTAGTTTAATACATATACGGGGTTGTTTTTTTTTTATTATATTATTATAAATATATTTGTTTACTTCACCAAAAATTAAATCCTAGTCCTAATTGTAATCCCTTTTTTAACTTATCAGTATTTGTTGCTACCAACGGTAAACAGAAATTCATTTCTAATCTTAAAATGCTACTTCTATATACTATTCCTACGCCTGCTGAAACACTAGGTGCCCTTGTAAGATTTCGGAAGGCATAAGTAAGCGGTTGATCTAAAATTGAATCCTCATGGTTACAATAAAGTCCTTAAATTTGCATAAAATGTCATGATTTGAACTTACGTGGATTTACTTGCACCAAACTTCCCCCATTTAAGAAGAAATGCCCTTTAACCGGATATCTGCTCAACTTGGGTAACGGAGTGAAAAGACTTACACCTGCCGCAACATAAGCATCACCTCCAAGTGAATCCCCTAAATGTCAATAAAAATTTATAAATATGTAATTCTAACAAATAGAAGTTTGAATTATAAGGAATGATTAATCTTGTTTTATACTTTTATCTTCTCTTGGACCTATTCCATTCAATTTAAATCCTCTCACGGATTGTGCTCCACCAAGGAAAAATCTATCACTAATTTTTGACTGGTGATCTTCCAATGGAAATAGAATTCCATTTCTGAGTGATGCACTAAGAATCTAATTTATTATATTTAATTTCAAACGGTAAATTAAATTAGAATAGAATCAACAATCAATAAATTTATGACTTACAAAGCCTTTACCGAGAGGAAAATTAATTTGACTCTCGACTTCATTTTTAATAAAATGAACGTCCCCACCAATTCCCGCGAATTCCTATATTGTAATTATATTTAGCCTTATACTGAAATATATTTTGTGAATAAATTATAAGATAATTCATATAACCTGAAATAACTTAATGTAGTAACCGCGCGAGGGCAACATTATATCGTCGCGCTTATCTCGCATAAAAGAATGTGACACAGATGATTTTAAAGAATGACCTGCCGAATTCCGTATACTAAATTCATAAACATAAATTATAATGAGAACATATATGTATATTTTTTCTTTTATAAAAAAACTTATGTATATTAGAATTTGCCTTAGTGTTGCATCATGAGCAATATTACAAATTTGTCTCCACGATGCTCCGTAAGCTAACTCGTACAATCCTAATTTGGAAAGACGCTATTAACATAAAATAGTGTTATTATTAATTATATTTACGAATTTAACCTAAGGATTCTTGTAATCTTAACGTACTCTCCATCTTAGCGCCATTCCTTGCAATATTTCGTCATGGGAACTAAAGCTTTGATTATTCCTTGTTAATCTATATGCTGAAATGTCAATCGTGGAATCTGGATTTCCATTAATCGGTTTTGCTAAACAAAACTAGAGAATATATTAAATTGATATAATGTTACATTCATTGTGTTAAATTCAACAAAATGTACATACCTCAAATACATGTGAAGTCTGTGTTCCAGCCGACATATAAGTTTCTAATGATTCTGCGCCACCAAATACATTACGAATATTCAAAGAAATATTCTAATAATTGAAAAATGCACTTTCGATTAATCAATAAATAATATGAAACAAAAGTGTATCAATGACCAAGGATGACATACCGCACTCCCTGCATCATTACCAATTTCAGTCCCAGTCTTTATCCAAAATCTGCTTTTTTCTTCTACAGATAAAATAACATCAATAGCTCCGGGTTGTGCAAATGGGTCATTGTTGTTATCGAGCAATACATCTACATATTTAAATATGTCGAGGCGATTCAATTTATCTGCGGATATACGAACTTCATCAATTACCGAACCCAATGTGCGGGCATGTAATGCAGGATGAATCACAGACTCGAACAGTGATCGACGCGTCTTTTTTGTACCATGAATTTGAAAAGAATGTATATAAAATGGACTGTCTTTTGTGTCAAACACCTATCAATTATTATTTTTTTTTTTATTTTTAGGGGAGAAATATTAATTCAATTTTAAGAATTGTGCGAACACGCTTAAATTACAATATTACTTACCAAATTATTTAAATTATTTGCCGCTTCTTCATATCCTTTATTTTTCTTAGCTTGAGCTTCAAAGTTGAGACCCGCGAATTCTTCGTTCTGGTGAGCCCTGAGTGGAAACTGCAAGTAATATAATTTGTAAAGCAATGAATGAGTGATTAAATCAATACTTTAATTTAACAATTTTCAAGAAAATACCTCAAATACCTCTTCTTCATTATCCATTAATGTAGTTGTTCCTTCGAACAAGAATTATTTAAGATCTCTGATCATAAAAAAATTAAAAAAAATTTTTTTTCGGAATCTTTCAAAGCACGTGATTTATCTATTTATATCAGACGAACACAACGTCGCCCGTAAAAAATGGTAGCCGGATTTTATTTACCGGATATTTATTATTAGGGTTAGTATTATAGTTAGGGTTTGTAT